AACTCAAGGGACCAAAGGAGGGACCCTTAAAGGGACTCTTGGGGTTATATAGGGGCTGTATGAGACTATATAAGGGGTATATCAGGGTTATATAGGGTATTTGGATTAGGGGTCCCTTCTAGGGGTCCCTCCTATTGTCCTTTAGTTGGTCCCCGAATATGACTGTACTAGAGTTTTCCCAAGACCCTACCTCATTTATTCCCTATAGCTACCCTAAACCCTAAACCGTGGAAAGGAAAGTCGCATCTTCTAAGGAACGGGCCGCCACCTAGCCCAGGCCACGCGCGGTCAGCCGAGGCGCCCAAAGTTACAGAAGCTGCCCAGACCTCTCACCCAGACCACTTGAAGGATCTAAAAATTTGATCCCTCAAGGGGTTTCCTTTAAAGTACCTATAGTGGTGAAAATTCCGGAATTAGGGGATCTACTTTCTAGATCCTTCCGGACATCTGGGTAAAGGATCTAAGAAATAGAAACTGCAGGGTACCTATGAAGTGTGCCATTCGGGTTACTATATGGGATATTATACTGGTTGTGGTACGTGTTCAGCATAGGGACCCTTAAGGGGTCTAGAAGACTCGAACCCGCCGGAGACTATCTTGGGACGCATATCCCAGATAGAGAAATCTCGGGCTAAGTAGAGTGTACTGTAGATTCCTAGGTTCCTGAGTAGTACCTTGTTGCCCTTGTTCCTCTTGGGTTCCCTTCTTGGCGTTCTTCTGGTTGGCTCTTAAGACTTTAACTTTTTTGGTTCCTATATGAACTATAACAAGGAGGCTAGAAATTTAAGTTTTAGGAGCGGTTCAGAGGTCAACCAAGCCTTTTTCAGGCCAGATAGTAGGAAAATGCCTACCTTTGCCATTGACGGGCTGCTCCGGAACCTAGATTGGATTGTAATATAGGGGCCTTACCAATTACCTACACTATTTTGGTTCCTTATTATAACTATTCTATAACGGTCCCCAAAAACCCTATTCTGATTATTCAAGCCCGTAAACCCCAAACCCTAAAAGTAACCTTCTAGAACCCTTTAAGGAACCCTTTAAAGGAACCCCAAGACCCTATTCTGATTATTAAGGCCCCTACGTTATATAAGCTTGTGGATTCCCAGAGCCTTAAAAGACTCCATTTAGGGTTTAGGGTT